AGTATAATTTTTGTTAAGGGAATTCTATAGAGGAATTGAAGTCGAAGATCTTCTGGCCGCTGGTGTTGAACTATTAGCAAGCCTTCAAATGGTTTCTCTTGCCATATGTCCCACAATAGTTGAATATCGATGAATATCGTTGACATTATATGACATATGCTCTCTCCAACACTTGATGGTGTCAATCACGACCATTAATATCAGAAGTGCTGCTATGAAGGGCTTCATTGCGAATACTAACGGAATATAACCGTGGAGTCACCGTATAAGCATTAAAGTAACTGCAGATGCCTTATTATTTATGTTTTGATAGTTCTATTTTATTCTACAACAAACTTACAAATATACATTTTGCATTTTCAGTTAAAATAACAAAAATATTGTTGCAAAGCCAATTTTTTTTTTAATCGGAAGCAGCCAAAACCAACGAAATAATACCAGCCTTCGTATTGAAAAGTATCACTTTTAATAAATATTCTCGGATTTTTTTTCAAAGGTGGGTGATTGTACCCTGATTTCGGGAAAGTATTTTTTTCTTGGGGGACGCACCCCGATATTTTACCCGAAAGTCCAGGTCCAAGAGCCGGGTTACTAAACGAATATGAACAATATAGGAATCAAAAAGTCGAATTGTTTTGATATTGGAATTTGTGGGTCATAATGGGTTCTAGCTTGTACGGCGAAACATTGTATTGTGTAGGTCCACGTTTTGGTATAGACGGTACCTCCCGATTTTCGGTATTTTGATGATTTTTGCCACATTTTTCACGGAATTGTCTAAAAATTGGAATTTGTTGGCCATGATCGGTTCTAGCTCCGGTGGCGAAACAATGTATGTGTAGGCCCACTTTTTAGTATAGCCCCCATATAACGGTACCTCCCGATATTCGGTATTTTGATGATTTTTGCCACATTTTTTGCGGATTTGTCTAAAAATCGACTAGCTTCGATGGCGAAACATTGTATGTATAGGTCCACGTTGTTGTATAGTCCCATATAACGGTACCTAACAACATTGGATGGTGTTTGCACATTTTTTAACGGATTTATCCAGAAATTGGCATTTGTAGTTCGTAATGGGTTGTAGCATATGTGGCGAAACAATGCATGCGTAGGTTCAGGTTTTAGTATAGTCCCCATATAACGACGAACGATATTCGATATTTTGATAAAAATTGGTATTTGTAGTTCTTAATGGGTTCTAGCCCGGTGGCAGAACATTCAATATTTCGTTCCACGCTTGACTATAGCGCACATATAACGATACCCACCGATATTCGGTATTTTGATAATCCTAGTCACATTTACCCACATAATTGTTTCAAATTTGGTATTTTAGAATATTTGATGGATGATAATCCTTGAAATATAAAATTGTCTATGGTTCCTGTTTTGGTATGGCTCCATATAAGTTTAAGTGCATTATGCAAACGGTCTTACTGGTATATGAAGTTTAACGTGAAACACGCTTGAATTCAGATACTTTTATATAAAAATGTTCCCTAAGGTGGACAGTATTAAAAGTTCGGCCCAGCAGAACTTAATGTTTTTATACCGCCCACCATACTATGGAGGGTATATTAACTTTGTCATTCCGTTTGTAACTCCTCGAAATAATCATGTCAGACCCAACAAAGTATATATACTCTTGATCAGCGTAAAATTCTAAGGCGATTTAGCGATGTCCGTCTGTCTGTCTGTCTGTCCATCTGTCTGTTGTAATCACGCCATCTTTCGAACGAATTGAGATAGAAGGCTAAAATTTTGCACACATGTTTATTTTTCCAGTAGGCAGGTTAAGTTCGTAAATGGGTCATGTAGGTCGACGTTTTCATATAGCCCCCATATAACGGTACCTCCCGTTATTCGATATTTTGATGATTTTAGCGACACTATTCAACGAAACTGTTTCAAATTTGGTATTTGAAGTTCGAAACGGATACTACAGTCTAAGACAGAAAATTGTCTGTGCAGGTCCAGGTCTTCGTATAACCCCCATATAACGGTAGGGTATTTTTATACCCTACACCACAAGGTGGTCAGGGTATTATGTCTTTGTGCATTTGTATGTTACAGGCAAAAGGAAACGAGATAGACCCATAGTTCCTTTTGATGATCTGCATAGAATCACATTCTGAGTCGATTTATGCATGTCCGTCCGTATGTCCATGTATTTTTGTAAACAAAGTACAGTTCGCATTTATTGCCCTATCCAGATGAAATTTTGCACAAATCATTTGTTCCGCCCAAGGACGAACCCTATTGAAATTGCAGATAATCGGTCAAAATTTAGATATAGCTCCCATATATATTTCTGTCCGATTTGACTTTTATTGTGCACCAAACGTGTAATATCAGCCCGAATAGTATGGAATCTTGCACGTACGATCAGATTGGACCTAAAATAAGTATGTCAAATTTGATCGAAATCGGTTCAGATATTTTTAAATTCCCATATATATTATTCATCCGATTTGTTATTTTTGTCCTCCGCAGCCGTAATATGTACTATGTAACAACAATATTTGGGGAAATATATCAAATACAGCTCAGAAATACATTTGCTAAATTTTATCGAGATCGGTTCAGATTTGGATATAGCTCCCATACATAACTTCGTCCGATATACCTTGGATTGTGCACCAAACGTCTAATATTTGCCCAAATTGGATGAAATTTGGCACTTACGACCGAATTGAGTCTAGAAGCTAGTATGTCAAATTTAGTTAAGATCGGTTCAGATATAGCTATAGCTCCCATATATATTGTTCATCCGATTTGTTATATTTGTTACCCACAGCCGTAATATGCACTCCGTAACAACGATATTCAGGGAAATATATCAAATACAGCTCAGAAATATCTTTGCCAAATTTTTATCGAGATCGGTTCCGATTTGAATATAGCTCCCATATATATTTTTTTCCGATTTCAAATTAATTGTGTACCAAATGGGCAATACAAGTCCGAATTTAAAAGATACAAATTCTTCGGCATATTTAGTCCTTTGAACTTTAAATTATAATTATAATCATAGGGTGTATGATTGAATTCTCCCATAAAAATTTTTATGCGCAGCTCTACTAAATTAGCAAAGTGGTGTAGGGTATCATAAAAGTCGACCCCGTCCGACTTTTAAACCTTAAGACTGGTGTAATATAATCCTTCTTTACTGGTTTTTGTTTACAAAATGCTGGACAACGAACGTTTTCACATCGGAGAAAACCGAATTCGGCAGTTCATCACTTTCGGAGAAGCGATGCAACTCTTTAGCTCTTTTGAGTCTATTTTTTCCTGTTGCGGTGTAAGTTCTTGCACTTTTTGGAATTTCAATGGCTTTACCCCGAGCTCATTTTTCAATATTTGTTGAATTGAATATTGCAATATGTTCAGCTAACAAGCCAACAATGTCAGTGGCTTTACCCCGACCTTACTTTTTCAATATTTGTTGAATGAATATTGCAATATGTTCAGATCACGAGCCATTTTTCGGCCACTGCGATGCGGATTTCGATTAAGATAAAGAAGCGACTTTACTTTTCGAACCATTTCTGCTGATGTTGCTGTTTTTTTTCCGTCAACTTCCTTGACGTCGGGCTACGCTACCAGTATCACGGTAAAGAGCGATGGTACGAGACACAAACGTTTTATTTACATTTAAATGCTGGAGTGCTCTAACGATAGCTACTTGGGGTTTTCAGCCAAATATAAAGAAATCACACTATCGCGCATGAATTCCATTACGAATAACTGTTTTCCTGGAAAATTCTCATCAAAATCCTTTTGTACGCTTGTAAACAATAAAATGAGCTGTCACTGGAATAATTTTAAAAGCTTTCGGACGAGTGGCTTAGAAATGACAGCAGTCTGAAGTTAGTTAGTTTCAGTTTTTTCATCTCACCTTGACGTTTTATTAACACAAAAAGCTGAAGCTGAACACATGAAGCTTAAATATATCGGACAACACCTTCTGGTACCTCCCCCAACAATAAGTCAAAATTTTTGGAATATTTATAACTCTCATAAAATGCGAAACAAGCAAGTTCCACACAGCCCAATTTTTCAACTAACGCCAACCGTTTTGGTAACAATTTTCAATGCTCTCATAAACAATATTTCATAACTTGCGAATCACATTTATTATATTGGACATATTTTTCACAATATTTTTTACAACTCACACAGAATTTGGTATTTGATTTTCGCAATAGATACCATCCACTGCAGCTAACAACTGCTACAAAGGTCCTCGTAAACCTGCTACAAGCCCCCATATAAACGTACCTCCCGATATTCGGTAATCGATGACGTTGGCCATATTTCCAAACATAATGTTTTTTAAATTGGCATATAAAGTGTGTAATGCATCCTACCTCATGTGCCACGGTCCACGTTTTCCTGTATCCCACATATTGCGGCCCTTTCCGATATTCGGTATTTTGACTATTATCTTATTTTTTGAACGTAATTGTTTTAAATTTGGTTGTTGAAACTCGCAATAGATGACAACCCCTGTAGCAGAAAATTGTCCATGTTGGTTCACGTTTGCAATATGGCTCCCATATAACCGCACGTTCCATGAATTATTGAATATTTTAAAATGGCCATAACTCCTTAAATATTGAGTTTTCGGCGTTTTTAGCTATTATTTGTTATCACTTTTTTAGGCATGAACTATTGAATGTCTTAAAATGGCCATAACTCATTAAATATTGTGTTTTCGGCGTTTTTAGCTATTATTTGTGATCACTTTTCTAGGTTTGAATTATTGAATATTTTAACACAAGATGTTCTGAGTCGATTAAACTTGTCCGTCCGTCTGTCCATGTTTTCTGTTAGCCTATAAAAAATGGTGACATTCGCAAAGTTTTGGATATAGAAGACTCCCTCCGATTTCTCGTTTTTTAAGCACCGAACATCTGCTTAATCAAAATGGATTTAGAACATAAGGATTAGATGTGAGATTAATTTCATTGTAGAGGTTATAAATCCCTTCTCCTTTAGGAACATGTGAATATCCGCCATCGTTTTCTTGAAATACACAATTCAACAAAGAATACAACCGCACCACCTGAACAACCAACTGCGACCATTACCCAAACCCAAAAAAGATCGTCCACGGTGAGGTACATTCGTTCAACAGTCGGATTAGGTTCCCACAATGAAATTTCCTTCAGTTTAAGTAAATCGGAAACTACACTGCGTCGCCAGGCTTCACGCAGACCATATGACCGAACTTGATGTATCAAATAATTTAGTGGTTCCTTGAAGGGGGAATTAAATTGCAACTTGAAACCCCACATTGCCAATGAAAATAAAACTAAGTCGTCGGGAACGTGAAAAATCTTTTTTGAAAAGTACTTTTGGATTTCATCAAAAATGCTCCAAGAATCCGTGCGCACAAAGTAGCAGTATGTGTTGTCGAGACTGGCACGCACCTCAATGAAATTCGACGTATTTGTGTAGATGGCATTGATGTTCCGTTCACTGTAGAAGTAACCCAATTTTCGGGCATCAGCAATATCGACTAGTAGCTTGATTTGGGATCGTTTCAATTCGGCAAATGTGCGAACCTGTGGATGATAGGGTGGACTGGTGAAAAGGCTGTTCATTCTTCCGGAAAACTGAGCGTACAAATTAAGGCCGGTGAAACCAATTAAAAAGAAAATTATGCGATGGCTCCACCATTCTGAAGTTCGGATCAAAAAGGCCTGATCCATTAGCCCCGGAAACACTTTCTCACTCATCAATATATCCATTAAGCGCCAAACGCCATCAGCATAATAGTCAATGACAACATGGGCCAAGGAGAGCAACAATGAAAAACCCATTAGACAGGCAAAGAAGAGGGGATCCATTAAAACGCCGAATATTTCATGCAGGGTATATTGTGGCGAAAGCGGTACCATGATCATGATCTGGTCTATTTCATATGGATCTGTCATGTTAAACCATCTGTCGTCATATGAACCGTCCACGGCCATGGGGATGTCCAGGAGGTTTTCATCAACCATTTCTAGGATAACACTGAAATGAGTCAACTTTTTGCCCACCTCCAGAGGATGATACATTTTTAGAGTAGCATTGAAGTATTCCGCAAACAGCAACACCATTCTGACCACCAGACCATTTAATTTGATATTTTTATTCTGATCTTCGTATATGAGGGCACGAGGTGAAATCAAATCCACATCGGTCAAAAGGGTCATATTTTGTAAATTCCACCAATGCTGGGGATAATAGGCCCCATTATTATCCTTTACACTACCCGAAGTCCAATGATATTTTGGATAAGGTTTAATGAAATGATACACGTCCCTCAACTCAACGAAATGTAAAATGACGTTTGTCATTTTGTGGTATTGGCTTTGTTGCAGTACCAAATCCTTGAAACCTTCAGTGTCTGTGACATTTTCCACTAGCCACAAGATTCTGACTTGACGCATATAATTTAGTGTAACTGCAGTTGCTTCCATTATTTCCATATTCAGGTAACCCGATACCATAATAATGGTTAAAATATTTGAATTTCCAATTTTATGTTTATATTCTAAGCGTGAATCCTTGGTAAGAATTATTTTAATTTGAGGTATCCGCAGCAGTAGATTTAGTCCCAAATCTTCGATACGATTGTGTTGTATTACTAATAACCCCTCATAGGGTTGCTCCTGCCAAATATTCCATAAAAGTTCTTCATGAGTCACCACTTCATTGTCATTGTGGAAGGGAAAATATGCCGTCAAGTTGTTGGCTAAAGCAGAGCTAAGCATGGTTAGGAATATTAACAATATTGCTTTTGAGCTTTCCATTGCTAATATTTAACTGATTTGATATGTATCGTTAAACATTGGAAATAGGTGTATACGAATGGCCACACAAGTCGCATAATTGTTTTTAATAAGAGCGGAGGGTATAATAAAATTGCGTAAAAAATGGTCTGTATTAAGTGTATCGTTCTACTTGTTACATTTCAAATTAATGGCTAGCTTTTCCTTTATCATGCCATTCAAAATGTACAACGTTCGGAATGAAAAGTGAGTTATGTGTGCTGCTCATATGGCGCAGCACCTCGAAATATTTGGCGGAAACCCAACTTAATGTTTACATTATTAGAGATGACATTCAACATTTTTTACCGGCTATATACCTAGGCTAAAAGATTGGCATGTGCTAAGTTTGATCAAAATCGGAAACTTATTTTACATTTTATGATATGCACAATTATTCAACTTTTTGCCGCAATATTCAAATATGTGGTTGGAAGAAAAATTGAGAAAACCAAAATTTCGGGAAAAATTTTTGATTTCTTTCACATCACAAAAAAAAAGAAGACAAATACAAAGACTGTAAGTTCGGCCGGGCAGAACTTTGAATACCCTCCACCATTCGGGATCAATTTGGCAATTTTCAAAAAATAAAATCCGTTAAAAATCCGAAACTTAAAAAAAAATCGGTGAATAATGTCGCTAATATCATCACAATACCGAATATCGGGAGGTACCGTTATATAAGGGCTATACGAAGACATGGACCTGCACAGACAATTTTCTGTCATAGGCTGTAGTATCCATTACAAACTCAGGTGAATAATGTCTCAAAATACCGAATATCGGGAGGTACCGTTATATGGGGGCTATACGAAGACGTGGACCTGCACTGACACTTTTCTGTCATAGGCTGTAATATCCATTACGAACTTTAAATACCAGATTGGAAACAATTCCGGTGAATAAAGTCGCTAAAATCATCAAAATATCGAATATCGGGAGGTTCCATTATATAGGGGCTATACGAAGGCGTGGACCTGCACAGAAAATTTTCTGTCATAGGCTGTAGTATCTATTTTGAACTTCAAATACCAAATTTGAAAATTTTCTGGTGAAAAATGCCGCTAAAATCATAAACAATACCGAAAATAGAGATGTACCATTATATGGGGGCTATACCAAAACGTGGACCTACATGGACCATTTCCAATACCAAAAGTCCTGCAGACATAATATAAATTTGAGAAACATTTTATCAACCTACTTCATTTCGTTCGGAGTGATTTCCACAGACGGACAGACATCGCTAAACCTAAAAACGGAATAAAAAACTCAATATACCCTCCAAACTATGGAAATTTTTTATTGGATGAATGTGTAGTGTATTTTAATCTACTTTTTATACCCTACACCACAAGGTGGTCAGGGTATTATGTCTTTGTGCATTTGTTTGTAACAGGCAAAAGGAAACGAGATAGACTCATAGACTATGAGTCATAGTTCCTTTTGATGATCTGCATAGAATCACATTCTGATTTATGCATGTCCGTCCATCCGTCTGTCCGTCCGTCTGTCCATGTATTTTTGTAAACAAAGTACAGTTCGCATTTATTGCCCTATCCAGATGAAATTTTGCACAATTCATTTGTTTGGCCCAAGGACGAACCCTATTGAAATTGGAGATAATCGGTCAAAATTTCGATATAGATCTTCATCCGATTTGCCTTTTATTGTGCACCAAACGTATAATAACAGTCCGAATAGTATGGAATTTTGCACGTACGATCAGATTGGACCTGAAAATAAGTATGCCAAATTTTATCGAAATCGGTTCAGATATAGCTATAGCTCCCTTATATATAGTTCAACCAATTTGTTATTTTTGTCCTCCGCAGCCGTAATATGCACGTTGTAACAACAATATTTGGGGAAATATATCAAATACAGCTCAGAAATACCTTTGCTAAATTTTATCGAGATAGGTTCAGATTTGGATATAGCTCCCATATATATCTTCGTCCGATTTACTTTTGATTATGCACCAAACGTCTAATATTTTCACAAATGGGATGAAATTTGGCACTTACGACCAAGTTGAGTCTAGAAGCTGGTATGCAAAATTTGGTGAAGATCGGTTCAGATATAGCTATAGCTCCCATATATATTGTTCATCCGATTTGTTGTATTTGTTACCGACAGCCGTAATATGCATTCCGTAACAACGATATTCAAGGAAATATATCAAATACAGCTCAGAAATATCTTTGCCAAATTTTATCGAGATCGGTTCAGATTTGGATTTAGCTCCCATATATATTTTCATCCGATTTCCGATTTTTAAAAGATACAAATGCTTCGGCATGTTTAGTCCTTCGAACTTTAAATTATAATTATAATCATAGCGTGTATGATTGAATTCTTTCACAAAAACTTTTAATTGTTATGCGGAGCTCTACTAAATTAGCAAAGTGGTGTAGGGCATCATAAAGTCGGCCCCGCCCGACTTTAAGACTTTCCTTACTGGTTGTTTTTTTGTTTGTGTGTCCTTTGGATTAGAAATTTCAGCATTGGGCCGTATTTGGGAAACAATATACATGTGGCCAAGCGTAATAAAGTGTTCTTTAATATTTTTAAAATATCATTGTTTTAGACTCTGAGGGGCTTAAATCGGATGAAACTTATATGTGGGAGCTACATCTATATTCTTGTGGATTCGAAACAAATTTGGCAGATATTGTTCTCATCATAACCAGCTCCAGCTCCTAAATCCGAACGTTGGAATGTCTACCTTGTCCCTGCGATTCTTATACCCTCCACCATAGTATGGAGGGTATATTAAGTTTGTCATTCCGTTTGTAATACCTCGTTTTGTAATACCCCACAAAGTATATATATTCTTGATCAGCGTAAAATTCTATGTCGATTTAGCGATGTCCGTACGTCTGTCTGTCTGTGGAAATCACTCTAGCTTCCAAACGAAAGCTATTATGGTTTTTGTGCAATTCAGCATTTTCCATGCTGTTTTCCTACAGCCAACCCCACTTTGGTTAAAAAATCCGAAAAATTCGATTATCTGAAATAATTTTAGATTATAAGTACTCCTCGAGACCTTTCATTTGAGCCGCGCCCCAATGACGCAGCTATTATGTTTTTGTGCAATTCAGCATTTTCCCTGCCGCCAACCCCACTTTGGTTAGAAAATCGGAAAAATTCGATTATCCGAAATCATTTGGGAATATAACGCATGTATACTAAGAAAAATACTACTCGAGACCTTTCATTTGAGCCCCGCACCAATGACGCAGCAATCTTAGTTTTTGTGCAATTCAGAATTTTCCATACAGTTTCCCTACCGCCAACCCCACTTTGGTTAGAAAATCGAAGTATTCGATTATCTGAAATAATTTGGGAATATAAGGCATATATACTTAGAAAGTACTCCTCGAGACCTTTCATTTGAGCCGCGCTCCAATGACGCAGCTATTATGTTTTTGTGCAATTCAGAATTTTTCATGCAGTTTCCTTACCGCCAACCCCACTTTGGTTAGAAAATCGGAAAAATTCGATTATCTGAAATCACTTGGGATTGTAAGGCATATATACATAGAAAGTAATCATCGAGATTTTTCATTTGAGTCCCGCATGAATTTTCCATGCAGTTTCCCGACCCCACGCTTGCTATACCGTTAAATTAATTTAGAAGAATTGGTTTTATCTTAATATTTCTTGAAAATACGTTGAATTATCAAAAAAAAGTAGTTCCTTGTGAGTACTTTACCCCCTGAGAGAGAATTGTATATATAGGTCCACGATATCGTATATCCCCCATACAACGGTACCCCGATATTCGGTATTTTGATGATTTTACCCACATTTTTCAACGGAATTGTCTGAAAATCCACACAAGGAGTTCTTTGTGGGTACTTTATACCTCGGAAGAGAATTATCTATATAGGTCCACGATATCATATAGCTCCCATATAACGGTACCCCCGATATTCGGTATTTTGATGATTTTAGCCACATTTTTCAACGGAATGGTCCGAAATTGTACACAAGGGGTTCTTTGTGAGCACTTCACCCCCTGAAAAGGAATTGTCTATATAGGTCCATAATTTTGTATATCACCCATATATCGGTACCTTCCTATATTAGATATTTTAAATATTTTAAAAGAATTTTTAATGGATTTTATTTTTTTGAAAATTTTCTAATTCGTTCTAAATGGTGGAGGGTATTTAAAGTTTTTCACGGGCATTATTGGAAAGTACTTCCTCCTCGTATATTTGAGCCCTATTAAACCATATCTGCGAAAAGGTGATCTTTGCGAAAATACCTTGACTCGCCAATATAAATCTCGAATAATTTCACATCTACTTATATTTCTACCAATAAAAGATCTAGCGTTAAAATTGGGTATCCGGTATTCTTCTCCGGTATCAACAGAATTGTATCGACATAGGTCGAATAAATATTCCGCATTTAAATATTATCCCCAAACATGTAGGTTTTTCTTTACATGTTCGTTGCAGGATTCAAAAGCCTGCAATGTTAGGGCTATCAATAGCTATGATCTCTTGATCCAAAAAAAAAAAATAAAATAAATAAAACACAGCCCGGGTTTTTGGTTTTTACATAAAATGTTGAATGTATTTTTTTTATTATATATAAAAAATATCATACATATTTCTACATCGATGAAGAGTGAACAGAAAATTATTTAAAATGAATACATAATCTCATAGCAACAAATACACATCAAAACAAAAATATACGCACAATGTTATAAAGCATTTATACTATTTAAATGAATTTCTTAATAAAATGATTAAAATTGGATGGTTCTTAATATATTGTGAAATGCAAGGTGACGACACAGTGCAAAAAAAAAAAAAAACTGTAGGCAATGATAGACGACAAACATTTGATACAAATATTCGATTAATACATTTTGTAATATTTCAGATTATAGGAAATTGTGGCGTAGTGGGCGGGGCAGGTGTGGATAGTATTGGAACACAATTTGGAGGGTATTTCTTTTTGTTGATTTCAAATTATTTCTACAAGGAGACAACCTAGGCTAGTGTTTGTTACCGAGGCTCCTCTGCATTAGAAGAACATTTTTGGTTGTAGAATAAAATATGTCCTTTTTTGTGATATTTTTTTCTGCTAATTGTTTACAGTCTGCCAAGAAAGAATTTAAACAAATTTTATTTTGTTAGATTGAAGAGCGAATTAATAAATATAATCTTTACAAAAAATAAATTTCTTCCAATTCGAAATTTGTGTTTATTTGTTTGAACACCTTTTTGAGAGACTGTAGTTTATAAATTTCCAAAAAGGGGGAAAATGAGGTCTACTTAAAACTAATTTAATTTAGAAAAATATGTTAAAATTCTATAAATTATTTTTTTCGAATGATGTAGATTGGGAGGTATGTATCCCCTCGCATCTGTAGTCTTAAGTCTAGGCAATGATTTTTGTCATTTATGGCATAATTTGCAGTTATCAATTCTTGCGTCATCTTCGGAGTATTAAGGTGGTGAGTGGCTGATGAATTCTCTCTTTTAAAATGGAAATTCCACGGTACCCCTGTGGATGGAGCTGGAAATCGGATGGATACTACACAGTAGTAAATTGATGAAAATTACTCATTGATGTATTGAAGGGTGGGAGTAGCTCACGTTCAACATGGGTGTTGTGAGTTTTCAGTATTTTCTACTAACCACGCCATGTCAATAGACTCCAACCATGTTTGTTGCTAGCTTGGACTTGTAGCTGTTGTTGCTGCTGCTGTTGTTGTTGTTGTTGCTGCTCACCTACGGAAGTACGTAGTATGGTGTGTTTGAAAACGGACCTCTTAAATTCCTCCGGTGATGGTTTATACGATTCAAGTTTATTCCGGTATTGATGTTGTTGTTGCTGCTGCTGCTGTGCTGTCTCCGTGGTAAATGCCTGCGAGCCGCCGTAGTTCTTGGTGCCAAACGAGCTCCCACCTTTTTGCGACGCTGTTGACGTGCTTTTCGTAGATGTCGCCTGTTGATGTTTGAAGGTATTAGAATAGGTTGTAGTATGTTTGAAACTATTATTATTATTATTATTGTTGCTGTTGCTATTCTTGTTGTTATTATTGCTAAATTTAGTAGTGGCAGAATATTGCGTAGTTTGTTTGGTGTTATAAGCGCTGAATGAATTGAAATTGTTGTTGTTGCTGTTAGTGTTTTTATATTCATACGTTTCAATGGCATTATCGCTGACGGTACTGGGATCGGGAGCTGCACATAGTCCATTGTATCGTTTCGATGGTTTCATACCGTACAAACTGCACGAGGGTTTGCCGGCCTCATAGGGATTGTAGCCGACAACATTGCCACTAAAAAAGAGGGAGAAGAGAAAGGAAAGACACTTATTAGCACTGGTTGTGGAAATGATTGGGAAGATATATAGGTAGATTTCCATATCTTAGAGGGATGGGTTTAGTGTTGAATTGCATTTCTAAGTGACGTTTGAACAATTTGTATTACCGTCCTCTCAGTATAGGGGTATGAATAGATGACCCCATAACGTATATTCCTGATAGGGCTAATCTGTCTGTTCTATCCGATCGACCTAGATGGCAAAAATTTTGGTCATAAGTATGTTATATCAAGAATTTTTATGGAATTGAAAATGAGCTGTATTGTTCCACGATTTTTGGTATTTAATGATTGGCGACACATTTTCTATCAGATTTATTTATAATTTGGGTTTTGGCCTTCCTAATAGACAGAAAATGTCAATATAAATCCATTTTTTCCTATTGTCCCCATTGACATTTGGTTTATGGGTTTCTATTGGATTCTACCTCCTGTAGCAGAAAATTGTTTATAAAGATCCACGTTTTTCTATAGTCCCCATATAACATCTCCCGATATTCTGTATTTTGGTGATTGCAGCTACATTTTCTTTAAAATGTCTGCATTAGAAAATTGTCTAAGTAGCTTACGGTCAAAATTAAAATCCCCACCATCATAGTATAGAGGATATATTAAGTTTGTCATTCCGTTTGTAACACCTCGAAATATACATTTAAGACCCCACAAAGTATATATATTCTTGACCAGCATAAAATTCTATATCGATTTAACTATGTCCGTTTGTCGGTCTATCTGTCCGTCTATGAAAATCACATGTAAGTTAGGCCCCAATATAACTCTAACTCCCTATATTCAGTATTTTCATGAAATAGCAGCATTTTTCAAAAGATTTTTTTTGTTTTGAAAATTTACAAATTCTTTCGTATGGTGGAGGTTATTAAAAGTTTGGCCAAGAACTTGCTGTTTTCCTTTGTTTTTTACTTGTTTTATTATAGAATACTTTTTGAAGCAACTTGTATTTTTAGAAGACCCTTGAAGGAGTATTCGAAGCAGATAAGTCATATTAAAGGGTCTCTAGACTATAGAAGACCGTATAAATATATATACATTCCATATTATTTATTTAAGAACTTCCATATGGTATTTTTTCTGTAGAATATTTTTATCAGGATACTCTTCAATCTATACCAGGCGAAAATAGATCGTTTATAATTTCAACATTTTTGTTAAGGGCCTTCTGCTTATAGAAGATCTTTCAAAGAGTCGTTTGTTTAAAAAATACCTTTCGAAGGGTGCCTTATCTAATGGAGTTCTATGTGACCACAGAAGACCTTTCAACGGGTCCACTTCTTATATTTATAGAAAAGCTTTCAAATGACCTTCTATCTTTCAAATTGATTTCTGTCTACTCTAAAGAGTCTTCTTAGCCTAAAGTTCAACATATAAGTGGCAATACATTTTCTATCTTTAGAAATTATTCCCCTATCACTTACCCTGGTCCATAATTGCACACGTATAGCTTGTTGTATTTCGATTTGTCTTTATATTCCGCAAAACCGCAACCAACTAAACTTGTTTCGCCCCAAACCAACTGAAACAACAGACAAAAATATGAAATTAAAAAAACATAATTAGCTTGCAAATTGAGTAATAGAAAACCACAAAATATACCTGAGAATAATGGCCAGTTTTGGGTGACCAAGCATCGCCAAAGGAGTATTTCTGTACCTCGTTAAACCAGTTTTGAATGCGTGATGGAAAATCACCATCATCGGGATCCAGGGGGGCCGTACTCCAAATAATGGCCAGATTTTGGCCCATTGTAAAACGATCTGAAATAACGGATTTAGAATTTAAAAATATTGAATTTTACAATGTTTTATTTCACACCACACTTACTTATTGTCCTAAAGGGATCGTGACGGAATTGACAATTTTCAGCCCATTTCTGGGCCCTGTCGGCTAGCTCATCATCCCAGACGATTTCACGCATATTCTCCGCCGCCGGTTGGCCGGGATAGCGGCCAGTGGCCACAGTTTGCCGTAATCTATTGTGTTCTCTCAAAATAATTTCTTTCTCTTCTTCGGTAATGCCCGCAGCTGAAAAAAAAACGAAAATATATAGAGAAAAAATATATAAAAATAGGTCCATTTAATTTGAAATTCATAAAAAGAAGAAACTAGGCTAAAGGTTGTGCGACTGAACGAAGCAAAAAATATCATTGGTTTCTATTCGAACAAAAATGTCTTGTTGAGCACAAAGATTGAGTCATTTCTATTTCTGGTTTCGTCTTGCCAAACAGCGACCAGTTTTCTTCCTAATCTTGTCGTCTGTCGCATTAATTTGAATATAATCATTATGTGTGATTTGAAAACAAAAAAAAAAAGTTCCATATTTTGCCATATTAAAAAAATACCCTCTTCTGCAGGCTTTTGAAACCCCACAAAAAACAGCCGACAAAATCAGAAGTTTCACGGAATTTTGTTTAGGCGCCTTTTTTTTGGCTTTTTAAAGAAATTAAGTTGATTTAATTCAAATTTATTCAAGAAACAAATTTGTAAACTTGAATATTATAAATATACATTTATCGGCTATAATAGTCTGTATTCAGAAACAAAACGTTGTCTTTATAATATATACAATTTTACATGTCAGTTGGTGCCATGACTCTCTGTTTTGTGTAATATTTATAAATAAAGAAACGTAAGCCTTTGAACCAAAGAAAATTTGAAAAAATTTGCCTCAAAAATTGTCTTTAAAGTACTTCTGTGAAGCCAACAAAATGTTATTTTAAAGTCCAAACTTTAGCTCTGATACACCTTGAAAAAACTGAAAGTGCTATTTTCGCAGAATTAAGGGCGAATATCAAAAGTATTATTGGGGGTATCTTTTAAGTATCAAAAATTACTGCTAAAAGCTGCGATTTTCGTACTAAAATATTTAAAAAAATAATTTAGAATATTCACGCTTATAGGCCTAAAATTAAAACTCTTAAAATAACTTATACATTTTTTATAATACCCTTGGAAATGGTGTAGCACCTCCTATCAACATCGGCGGTGGCATTTAAAACTTCAACAATGATTTTAATCAACATTGTTTCCCTGCACTCTGAGCTGGTTAAAGAAGCAGTAAGAAATCGCCTAGTAGAAGACCACCTAGCACGGTAAAATTGCAACAACAACAAGAAGAACAGCAAAAATCTGTTTGACAAATTGATCATAAAATATACGATTAATTTCCTCAAAAAAAAAAAAAAAAAAAAAAAAAAAAAAACTACAAAGTAGTTCAGCATCATGGTGTACTTAAAGGCTAATTTACATATAACAGTTTCGAACCTGAGGGTTGGTAATACCCATTTGAAGGGCCTTCCAGCTACAAATGGGATGGGGATATCGGTATGGGATGGTGGAAGGGTTTATAAAGGTTCTTCTCCAATAACTAATATTTAATATTAGTTATTGAATTTTTTTTTTTTTATTTTTTCATATTCCAAATCATGGATGTTTCTAAGAATACTTTTTAAATAATATAATTTAACAATAATTTTAAAAGGACAATCAGAGAATCATTCATATTTTTTTAACAATAAATTGTTGGATTTTTATTTTTTAAGATTATTTTCCTAAGGACTCTGACTCAATGAGTTCAGTCAATTCAGTTTTCAAAAAACAAAAAATCCTCAAACGTGAATATTCAAAGTATATTTTTCCAAGAGGTAATCAGAGCCTCAACTACGTGAGACTAAAACTGCAATCGATTTCAGACTGCTGTCATTTCTAAGAATTTTCCAGAAAAAAGTTATTCGTGATGGAATTCAAGCGTGATAGTGTGATTTCTTTATATTTGGCTGGAAAACCACAAGTGGCCATCGTCAGAGCACTCCAGCATTTACATATGAATAAATGAAAAGAAAGTGGACGGAAGAGAACAGCAACATCAGCAGAAATGGTTCGAAAAGTAAAGAAACGACTTGATCGCAATAGCAAGAAAATAGACTCAAAAGAGCTAAAGAGTTGCTTCGCTTGGTCGAACTGCCGAATGGTGAACTGCCGAATTTAGTTTTCTCCGATGAGAAAACATTCGTTGTTCAGCAGTTTGTAAACAAACAAAATTATCGTATTTACTTGCCAAAGAGGTCAGCGGAAAATGTTCACCTTCGGTTGGCCACCAAAACTCAAGCTCCGGCCATGGTGATGGTGTGGGCCACCATAACAGCCGATGGTAGCTCTCCGTTCGTATTAATCCACCGTGACATCAGAATAAATGCCGAATATTATCGCAACAATATTCTGGAGGTTGTATAAAACCTTGGGCACGCAAACATTTTGGCCGCAGACCTTGGACATCTCAAGAGGACTTAGCAACATCGCACTCAGCACGCGCCACCCAAGAATGGATACAAAATGAGGTTCCTCGCTTCATTTACAGCGAACAATGGCCACCAAAATCTTCGGATACCAATCCGTTGGACAATTGTGTCTGGAGTATTTTGGAAAGCAAGGTTGGCACTAAAAAATACCGAACTGTCGATCATCTCAAGCAGGCGCTTCGCCGGGAATGGGCCAAAATACAGCAGAGCAACATTCGGGCAGCATGTGACGGTTTCATTGGCCGTTTGAAGGCCATAATTCGTGCCAAAGGTGACCAATTCGAACAAATCTAAATTTATTCTAAAATTTGATGGTATTTTCGAAATTTTTTGACTTAGAAATTCCTGTGGACTTGTAGTAATTGTAGAAATAATAAAAAGTAGATTTAGATCATTTAACCCGAAATGAACTAATTCCCTTTGTGTAGATCTATTTTATATGCATATCTATATTACCTCAATTTGCCCTTGAAAATGGAGGGCCCCTGAAACTTTTATCCACCCAAAATACATCTACATTTAAATACCGCCCTGACAATTGCATCGTTCATTAAACTGTACATCTTTCGCTACGTGTAACTACATCGATCGGCCATTAATTAAAGGAACAGGCTTTTAGTGCAAAATAAGCGGTGCTTTACAATCGCTAACGAGCAACATTAATTTAATAGCTTTTAAGAAATCAAAAAGACAGATACAACGATAAACACAACAAACAAACATACAGCAACAGCAACAACGACAACAACAAGAACAATGCGCTATCTGATCTGATCACAATTCATCATTAGGACGACAGTCAAACATAAACACCAATTGATCAACTTTTTTTTTTTGGACTTTTTGCTGAGTGAGGTTTTGAGACTCCATTAAAACCTGCCGGGGAAGTGCAATGACGACAGCAGCAACAACAAAAAATACGCCAACAAGTCTACAAGAAAAGGAAATCGTTTAAACGGTGAATGTCTACTGCATTTAGTTAAACAAACAGAAGACTTAAGAGACAAGCGTCTTTTCCGTTTTTTTGTTTCCTTGCGTTTGTTTCATAGTAAATTAATCTTATTTTTTATTTTTTTTTTGTTGCTTTGATTGTGCAATTGTATGCAGCATGAATGGACGAACGGAACGGATGGATGCGTTAAATATGTTTTGTTTGATTGTTGAGAAATTTTAACAAGTGTTTTTTGTTTTGTTTCATGAAACAAACGAACGCACTGGAAACATCAAAAAATACACCAGTCGCCGACAGACTAGTCTTGTTGTCGCTCAGGTTTTTAGCGGTATTTGTATTTCATATGAAGTGTAGTATTTACAACAAGTTTGTTTCCTTACCCCCTTGTCAAAATTTGGATAAGGGGTAAGAATCAAAAACCTTGAATTTTTCATTAGCACAGTCGGAAATACTAGAAAAAAATCATACGGTAGTTTTATGCTTAAAATACGTTGTCGCCACCTTCTGTCTCTTTTTATCTTAAAAATATGGTTTTTGAATTATTAATCAATATTTGGCGTCTTCTTTCTTCTCATTAGAAAAATAATAAATGAAATCTATTCATCCAGCAAACTATGCTGAATTATCAGAAAATAGAGAAAGGCTTTCTGTAGCAGCTTCAGAGCTAAAAATCTTTAATTTTTAAACATTTCGTTATAAATTATATTTAAAGAGGCTAAATATTATTTAACTGAATATAAGAGTTGTAGATAACTATTTTTTAAAAATACTCTTAAATAATTTAGATCAAAATTGTAATGTTTGAGATTATTACTAAAGGACTTTTTGATAAGTTAAGTTCTGCCGGGCCACCATTTGGAACAATTTTGGATATTTCAAAAAAAAAAAAAAAAAAAAATAAAAATAAAATAAAAAAATGAAATCCGTTAAAAATTCTGTTAAAATCTAAACAAGTTAAAAAGTTTGAATACCCTCCACCATTTGGAACGAATTTGGAAATTTTCAGAAAATAAAATCATTAAAACATTCTGTTAAAATTTTAAAAATACCAAATATAGCCGTTATATTGAGGTGTATACGATGTGGGCCTACATAGGCATTGTTTGTCATAAGCCATCACCATATTCAAATTCGAAACTTGAAATAAACGTTGAATAATGTTGCTAAAATCATCAAAATATCGTATATGGAGAAGTACCGTTATATCGGAGCTGTGCGAAGACCTGGACCTGCATAGACAATTTTCTGTCACAGGCTGTAGCATCCATTACGAACTTCAAATACCACACCTCAAACAATTTCGGTGGGTATTGTACCTAAAATCGTCAAAATACCGAATATAGGGAGGTACTGATATATGGGGCCTATACGAAGACCTGAACCAGCACAGACAATTTTCTGTCTTAGGGTGTAGTATCCATTTCGAACTTTAAACACCAAATTTGAAACAATTCCGGTGAATAATGTCGCTAAAATCATTAAAATACCGAATATCGGAAGGTACTGTTATATGGGGGCTATACGAAAACGTGGACCTACATGGCCCATTTACGAACTTAACCTGCCTACTGGAAAACTAAACATTTAGCCATCTATCTCAATTCATTCGCAAGCGTGATTACAACAGACAGACGGACAGACAGACGGACAGACGGACAGACGGACAGACAGACGGACAGACAGACAGACAGACAGACAGACGGACAGACAGACAGACGGACATGGCTAAATCGTCTTAGAATTTTACGCTGATCAAGAATATATATACTTTGTTG